CTTTATTGAAGTGCAAATGAGGTCCTTCTTGGAGCCTGCAGGCCTGGGTCTCGCTGAGCACTCCCTACTGCCCTGGCATAAGGTGGCTAAGCCTTGCAGGGACTCCATGTACCCCCCTTTTTAAAGAGGCTCAAGAGAGAGGGGTGAGCCCCAGGCTCGGCTGGCCTGCAGAGAGAGGTCTAGGTGCGCCGCAGTCGCACGGACTGCCAAGGCTCTGAGATATTGTTTCAGGATCCATGGTCCTCTCCGGGGAGAGGGGCAGGAGTGCCTGTTTCCCACCCGAGAGAGCTAAGTCAGAAGGAAGGGTGTGCAACTGGAAAGCCATCATGTTTGGCAGCCAGGTGACCACCTGGCGAGGCTGGTGGCAGAGATGATGAATGAAGCGAATCTTGAACTTCCGCCCAGCTGCCTGGAGCCTGGGAAGCAGGCTGGTCTCTGAAGAGTCCTGACAGGCCATGGCTACTGATGGAGATGCCTCCTCATTGTGATGCTCACATAGGGGCCGGGCAGGATGGCCCAGGGGTAGTGGCGAGGGCGGGGGCTCCCACAGTGACGCTCTGGCAGCCTTCACTGACTTCAGAGCTAAGTATGATATAGGAGACCTAGCCGGACCTGAAAACCCATGAGAACTGGGACCCGAACCACAGTGAAGAGACAGGTCCCATGAGCAGGTGGCATGAGTCTGCCACAGCTAAATTCTGTGCCTGCTGCCAACTGTCAGAGATAAGGAAGAAGCCCATGTCATTGGTAAACCCAGACTCAAATTACTGGAGCATGTTGTGAAAAGGTAGTTTCTGGTTCAGCACGTCTGGGTGTGGGTGGCTTTGGGTCCAATGGCACTCTTGGTGCACACCAGTCTGTCATGCACCCACAATGTGGGAGGGATTCCCCGTGAATACCCCTGCTAATCACACCGAACAGAGATCTGTTCAGACGGGGCCCCGAGGATCTGAGAGACACATTGGCTGGGCCAATTGTCAATCCAGGAAGTTCAAGTTCAGTGGCCACCACTTAGGGAAACTGTGGAATTGTCTCAGTCTAATGCTCAAAACAAACTCACAGGGACATGATCTGCCCAAGACAAACAAGTGTGAAATGAAGAGCAAATGCTATTTCTTCCACTTATTAGCTGTGGGACCTTATATAACTGTAGTGTAAATAAGATAGCGTGGGTAAAATGCCTGTCACAAAGTAGCTGCCAAAAAATGCCAGTTCACCCCTCCAGAATCAAGCTAGAAGGAAGCCTTGGAGCATCAGGGCAGTGCCAATGCCAAGCACTCAAGCAGCACTCGACTTTAGAGACATTGTCTAACAAAGCTAACGAGAGCTGGACTTTTCATATGGATTTTTAGGCTGTTCTAACTCATCACATGTATCTTTCATTTGTCTTAAGAAATTGTCTCAGTGACCAGAGATGGTTTTTAGAAAATGCATGAGCTGTGATCCTTTCTAGAAAGGGATGGGGGAGCTGCTGCTACAGGGGTTCATTTTGTCCACCCATCCCTGGTTCTTCCTGATTCCTTCGTGACTCCATACTCAAAAGCAAGCCTTGTCAGGCCTGAGAATGGCTCTGGCTCTGAGGTAGCCGAGTGACTCCAAGGCAGCCCAGAATATGCACAAATGAAGCAAACCCTCCTGTCCTTATGACCCTCAGGACAAAGTAGAGAAGAGGGTAACTGGGCTATTGGAAGTGTCGGTGCCCTGAGGTCCCTGTAAAGCACCAGATGGTGCAGGAACAGGAAGTCTCAGCTTTCCTTAGTAAGATGAGGCCAGCTACTCAGGGCCACACTGTCCCGAGAAACTTTGTTTTGTGGATGCGCAGAAAGCAATACGTTTTTCTGGTATTAGAGATTCTTTTAGAAGAGTTGGCCGGGCGCGGTGGCTCAAGCCTGTAATCCCAGCACTTTGGGAGGCCGAGGCGGGTGGATCACGAGGTCAAAAGATCGAGACCATCCTGGTCAACATGGTGAAACCCCATCTCTACTAAAAATACAAAAAATTAGCTGGGCATGGTGGCGCGTGCCTGTAATCCCAGCTACTCAGGAGGCTGAGGCAGGAGAATTGCCTGAACCCAGGAGGCGGAGGTTGCGGTGAGCCGAGATCGCGCCATTGCACTCCAGCCTGGGTAACAAGAGCAAAACTCCGTCTCAAAAAAAAAAAAAAAAAAAAGAAGAAGTGAGTATAGAAGGCCTGCCAGCATGAGAGCCCCTGGGGCACCTGCAATGGGGGAGCTCAAAACAAAAGTTTATTCAAAATACAGCGAGCAAGTCAGTAGTGTCCTGCCCCAGAACCCCAAACTCTACCTATGCTATCCCTTTCCGGCTCTCTCTCACCACCCATGAAGTGACCTATGAAGTGTCCGATTCTCTTTATGGGCAAGGCAGGGCTGGCAGTATTTTAGACCAGGCCTGCTGCACTCACCGTCTGCGTCTGCTGCGTCTCTGTCGGGGAGCAGCTGCTGACTGTCAGCATACCTCATCATGGCGACGGTTCTCCTGTCTTGATTTCCCTGAGCATTTGCTTCTGCAAAAAAATGTGAGAGGAAGGAAAAGTGAGGACGGTTGCATGAGCAGGCTTCATGGCGGCCAAAGTAGTTTTTTTTTTTTTTTTTTTTTGGATGCCTCTGAACATCGGCTGTCCTGGGAGGTTTCCCACAGGTGTCCATCGTGTGAAGGACTGGACGGAAGCTCCAGCTGTTGGATGTCGTGCTAGGGAGGCTGAAGGACATTTAATGTGTTCCATGGACTCATTGCCTAGAACAAGGACATGCGCTGTCTGAGAGCAGAGTGGAGGAGAGGAGGCTCGTTTGAGGAAGCGCTCTCCTGGGTGCTGTCCTTTCTTGCTCCTGCTACCTCTGGGTCCCTGCGTGCCAGGGTAGGGTGGGGCACAAGAAAGACCCTGTGGGGCCCTTTCTTCTGCATTGCTTTGGTCTTAGACATAGTTCTGAATGCTGACTGCACATAAGAATCACTGAAGAGCCCTCGCACCTGCTCCTCCCTAAGAACCCCCCCAAAATAATGTGTGTCCCATGGGAGATAATCTAAGGAAACAGACCAATGTGGAGAGAGCATCGGTGGACACAATAGTGTTTCCACGTCCCTCCCCCACAATGGCTTTGAGAGACTCTATTTTGCCACGTGGAGATGTCAATTGTGACTGGAAGAAAACATCCTGGCCCCCGGAAGTTTAATGGGGTTCCTCAGAAGCAGTATGGGCATGAGGTCTCCCCTGAGAGTTCCCGGCCTTCTTGCCGGAGCCCCTCCCCATGCTGTGCTCCAGGGTAGATGAAGGCCGACAGGGAGAGACAGACTCACCTTCCGCCAGAGCCTGGTGGCTGAGGCTCACAGCAGGATATCCAGGGCTGCTGGGGAAAGGGACAGGGGGCTGGGAAACGCGCAGAAGCATGAAAAGAAAGGGCTGGATCCTTCCTTCCTTCCTGGAACCACATGTATGTTTGTGCAGTTTTCTCTACATGAAGGTACCTGGCCAAGGGATTCAGGGTGAGGACTGACATCAGCCCAGACAGAGGGTGACCGTTTTCTTCTATAAGAAGCCATGTCTGGGGGGTTGTCAACCCCATAGCCCACGAAGGGGTCCTTGTTGTTAATTTGCACAGAGGCACTGTTTGGGGCCTCAGGGAACGGGGGGAGCGGGGGGGTGGGGCTGCTATCCCTCGACCTCCTTTCACACCCTCCGTCCCTCCCGTTTCTCAAACTCCATTCTGAGGGCTCCCTGTCAGGCACCCTTCCTCACTTTCCACTCGGGATTGCTTTTCCCTAGCTCAGAACTGAAAAAAATGGGCTCGATTCTACTGGCTCCGACCTTGATCCCGAATACTGTTTCTCTAAGAAGTGTGGGAACCCTCAGTCGGTGAGTGGGAGAGAGCAGTGTGGGGTCAGAGCCAGGCACAGCTGAGACCCGTCCACCCTGTCCTGTGCCAAAGCCTCCAGCCTGGCCTTCTCCTCTCCAATGATCATGTGGCATGACGCCCCTCCCCACTTTACTTTGTCCATTTCTGACATCGAAGAAGAGAAAAGGGGGAAAGTTTGTTTGCCTTCTCTCTAGAAACCCTCCGTGCTGTGAGGCTGGCATGAGGGTGGCATGGAGGGAGAGGATGAGCTGCCCAGAGCCTGGAAATTCTGGGGCTAAAAGTGCTAATGAGGACTGTTCCTGGTCGTTATTGCCAAAGTTATTTCTTGGTTTTTATTTAGATCTTTGTATCTCAGTGCCCACATCAGTAAAATGTGGATCTAAATAAAAAACAATAAGCCAGCTATGGCTTACAGGGATGCTAAGGTGAGCTGATATTAGAATGAAAGCAGCATGACAACGATTTTAAAAGTTCTTCAAATAATCCATCTTTTCTTTGGGATAGCCTCACTTTTAAAAATAGTCATCATAATCCGCATGTCCTAAAAAGACATGCTGCATGTAGTAGCTGTGTAAACAAGGAACCTCTGGACTTTGAGATTCTCCTGTGGGCCTCTGGAATGGCTAAAGATTAGCTCCTGTCAGAAGGAATTCATTCCCTTCTTGGAGGTTCAGAAAGGCTTGCCTCCTGCTACTGGGTTTCCCCTTCAGGTTAGCGCTTCCATCTTAGGCTGTGGCTAAGAGGTCCTGAGTGTATGGGATGGATCAGCCTTGCGATGGAGACCTCACTGTTGGATTCTAGCTTCTTTGGGGGAGTATCATGAGCCAAATGATAATCCCTGGTCCAGCTTAGCACTGGGTTGTTTTACCCTAAACTCCCACCCTCTTGTCAGTCCTGGAGCTGGGTGAGTCACGAATTTTGTCCTTCGTCCCAGTTTTGGAAGCTAGAACAAAATGTGGAAGGCAAAAGTTTCCAGCACACGAGGAAGCCTATGTTGGAGCCTCTGAAGCTGGGGAGCAGAGAAAGCACTCGCAAATAAGAGCCACACGGGAAATGCCCAGAAAAGAACCTCGAAGACTAGTGTATGTAGAACTCTTTAGCTGGATCTATCAGCCCAGCGCAAAGAACATCATAATAACCAGGATGCAAGAGAAGGGTGTTCAGGGCAAGATGGTTGAACTGAGCCTTGGAGCATGGTGGTGGGCAGGGACGCTCCCTGTGTTGACCCTGCAGACACTGACCATATCTAAAGTAGTTAATGGAAAAACTTCTCAACACTAATGGCAAGGCTTCTCTTTTTTGCTTACCCTTGTGATCACGTGGGGTTTTAGGTCTCCCCAGGATCTCGTCCTCTGTGGCATTCAAGTTCTGGATCAAAAAGTATGTGGTCATTTTCCCTTTACCTTTCACTTCGATTTCACCCCTCTCGATGATTTGAAATCCTTGATTTTTCAAGGCTCTGCACAGAGAAAAAAAAAGTGCATCAGCTATCAGAGACTGTGGATCTGTAACTCAAGAGTTGTCTGCAATGCACAGGCAACTCAAGAGACGTGCAGGATGCAGGACACACAACAGCAGAGCAGGGAGGATTCCAGACAGCAGCCTGCCGAAGGGGAGCATAGGCCATAGACAAAGTCAGGGTGAGATTCTCAACAAGATGCCAAAGGCCAAAAGTGAGCACGGGGACTCACCAAAACCCTGCTGACCCTGCCATTCATTTCCCTCTCTCCAGCTCACCCCTCATAGGGCATCTCTCACGTTTCTACACACAATGCTGTCAGTGCCCGTGTGGACACCACCTTTCCTGGTTCTGCCACATAAGGCTCTTGGGTATCAACACTCTTCTTTCCATCTTCCCCAAGTGCACCACGTACCCCATACTTGCTACCATGCTCATCCTAACTACCCAAACTTTCTCCACCATAATTTGTCTGCCAACGAACTGAAGAGGAGGACTCTAGGATAGGGACCGTGAAAAGAGACAGAGCTATGGGTAATTACAAAATGTTTCCCCATTGATTTATTTACTGTCCACCAAGTGATGGAGAAAAGGCAAAGAACCCTCCGACCAGGGAGGATTCGGATTCATGACCACCTGCCTCGGCACTCCATCGAGGCTTCCCTTGTCATTGGCCAGGTTGGTGGCGAGTTCAGAGCGTCACCACACTCCGTTTGTGCCCCCATTTGGTATCTGCTCCCCTCACTCACACGCTGGTGACTGTGCCTCCTACTTTCTGATCTGATTCATCTACAACATTACAGCAATTACAGGTGAGAGCCTGGGACTTCTCACCCCTTGACTACATCACCCTTCTCCCCAGTCTGTGAGAATGAGGTGTCTTTCTTGCTCGGGGCGCCTCATCCACGCCCTCTTCCCATCACTTCCGGGCCTTGCTCCATCGGCAACCCCACCCTTATCTGCAGCTCCCTCTCCATCTGCCTCTCTCCTTCTGCTTGTCGGTGTGCTTATGTCTCTTCCATCCTAAACAGAAGCAAACCAACAGCTTCTCACCTGCTTTAATCCCATGTGAGTTTTCTCTTCTTTTTGTTCTTCAGCCCAAGGTCTATCCCACCATTTTACGACAACCACTTTTGATAATGCCCCCAGAACCTCTAGTGAGTATTTTTCAGTCCTTATTACCGCATTTGACATTGTTGTTCAATTCCTCCTTCCCAAGTCATCCACAAGAGTGCTTCTCATCCTAAACGCTCCTCGTCCTTTCTGTTTCTTCTCCTGCCTCTCCCATGGGCTCCTCTTCCTCCCGTGCCACTTAATGCTGGTTCTGTGCAGGACTCCATCCTTTTCCCACTGTTCTTTGCACACTGCATCCTTCCCTGGGCGATCTCATCAACTCTCATGACTTTACCACCTATATGTTGCTTACTCTAAGTCTGGATCTTCAAACACTCAACTCCAAACTTCACGCATGCATTTTGTGCCCCGTCTAGCTGAAGGTTCCAGTTTCTTTGAACCCATGTGTCCAACCTAAACTCATTGCCTGCCCCTATGAGCTGGGATACTTATTTGTCCTATTGCTGATGGCGAGGCCATCATTCAAGCCCTAGTCACCCAGAATGGAGACCTGGGCTTCTCCCTCCTTCTCCTCCCCCATTTCTAACTAGTTTAGCTGGTTTTACTTGCCCCATATTCTCGCCACTAATGTTCTGATTCAGACTAAACTCCTAACAGGTCTCGTCTAGCTCATTTTCTGATTCTCAAATATGTCCTTTTAGGGTCTCTAGAGTGCTCAGTGTCAAATAGGACGTGGCCCTGTCACTGGTTTCAACCTCGCATTCCTTGGGGGTTTTTCTTAACCTACAGCATAGGGTCCTTGCCCTTCAGTAAGGCACGTGCGGCTCTCACCGCTCCTGCCTCATATTTCCCAATACAAAAAAGCTTAAGTGTTTATCGTTCTCTGCTCCTATTCTACATGTGAACCTGTACCTGCTTTTTACCCCCAATACCCCAATTTTGTCTAAATTTTACTCTGGAACTCTTTGTTGAAGATTTAGCTCAGGAATCTCCATGAAGCCCATTTTTACAGGGTCAAGCCCCCTTGCCCTGGGCTCCCATGACACTTTCTGTGATTCTCTTGGGGATAAGAGTGCCACAGTTAAAGGGAGGACTGTGAATCCTGACTCTGTGGGCTGCATCTGGGCTATTCTCCTTCCTAGCCTACCTGTTCCTGAGGCAAATGATTAACCTCTTTCTGCCTTTTCTTTCATCTGTAAATAATAATAATGTATCTTTACAGAGCTGTTGCAACTGTAAATGAATTAACATATAAAAATTTAGAATAGAATGTGGCCTATTGTAAGTGCTCAAGAAACTGCAAGTATTGTTTTATACACACATTTATCATTGTATTTATCTCACTTTAAAAATAATTAACTGCAACTTTTCTTTTTTCTTCTGCTAGACCGAAAGTCAGCACACTTTTTATAAAAAAGACCAGAGAGTAAATATTTTAGACTTTGTGTATTATACGGTCTCTGTTGCAGTCATTCATCTCTGCCTTTGTAGCATGACATCAGCCATAGACAATATGTAAATGAAAGTACGTGGCTGTGTTCCCATAAAACTTTATTTACAAAAATGAGCAGCAGACTAGATTTGATCTGTGGGGTTATAATTTGCTGTTCTCTGGACTAAACTGCATGCCCCCTGAGAGTAAAAACTATGTTGTAGTAGAAGTTCAACTATATTTGTTATCTGCCACAATATCTCTCTAAACCATTGAGGCATGGGAGAAAAAGCATGAGTTTCCTTCCCTACCCCATGCCATGGCTGCTAGGCACTCTGTAAGTTCTGGAAGCAGGGAGGGACAAAGAAAGGCATGAATAAATGGAAGCTTACCTGTAGGTTGTGGGACTGAGGTGTATTTTGTTGGGAAGCCCATGACTTTCCATCCTAGAAGCTGTGTTCACAGTGTCACCAAACAAGCAGTACCGTGGCATCTTGTCTCCCACAACACCTGCTAAGACTGGTCCAGTATGGACACCCACTCTGATCTGTACAGAGATAGCCTCACTGAAAAGAGACCATCTAATACTCTTGCTTTTATTTCTAAGTTAAGGTATAATTTACATAAAATAAAAAACAGATAACATGTTTAGCTCCATGAGTTTTGACACATGTGTATATCCCTGTAACCACCAACTGAAATAAAATGTAAACTAGTTCCATTACCTCGCAATATGATCTTGTGCCCCCTCCAGTTGAGCTGTCTCCCCATCTTCTCCAGTAGAGATAACTACATTCTCATTTCTTTTACCAAAGAATGATTTGCCTATTCTAGAACATCACATATGTACAATTATATAGTATATACTGTTTTATATCTGGTTTCATTTACTCAGCGTAAGATTTACACAACCACATATTTTTCTTTTTTCACCAGTGGCTTACACGAGGGTGCCTTAACTGAAACATTTATCTCTTATCTAACCTTCTTTATCCCTTCCCTCATTACCTCCCATCCTGATTTTTTATTTATTATATTGAATTTTTATTTCACTGATGCACACTGTGTGTTTGCAATGAGTCATTATGGCAGTTGTCTTGTTCTTGTGACTAAGACCAGCTTTTACTTAGAAGACTACAGTGAACGCTGTAGCCATGATCTACACTGCTTCTCAGCTTCTAACTCACCATGGTCAGGGTGAGTGGAGCAGATTTTCAGAATCTCCTGTAAAAAGGTTATAATGTGGAAAAATTATATTCCATCTTATAATTGGCTTTGTTTATTTTGAGTTGACTGGTTTATTTTGAGTTTCTGACTGATAATAGCAGGGAAAGGATCTAGAGATAAAAGGCAGAGAGATGCGGTTCTCAGCTATCCCGGGAGCATTAGGATCTGCTGAGCTAGCAGAAGTGGACGTTCATTTTTTTTCTCCAAAACTGTTCAACTTTTAGAGTGTGAACAAACTTCCAGACTTGGAAGTGTACCTTCCTGTGAGAAAGGCAAGCAGATGTCTCGCTAGTGGCCACGTGGTGGAAGGAAAGCCATTCTGAATATCTTAACGGCAGCACAGTGCCTGGCCTGCTGACTGCAGGCAGCTTCGCACCGCAGCCTGAGTTCTGAACCTGTCAGATGGCATGTTGGAGACACAGTTTCCTAAGCAGGAAAAGTTGGCTGCTAAGTAAACCGGAACCACTTGTTGAAATTCTTGAACAAAAAAGCAGGAATTATAAATGAGCTGGTTTTTAAGATGGAATGAACCCTGCTAGGTAAATAGGAAGAATTGCTCAACACTGTCCTAAATCACCAACAAAGGAAGCTTGCAGTCAGCCATAGGAAACCTTGAACACCACGGCTCCTCTGAAATTCGAGAAAAGTTTAGACTATAGCAGCCTTAGGAATATCTCTATTAGGAACATATGCAAGAGAAGAAAAGGGTTAGGATAAATTACCCATTTTAATGATGGCAACATACCCAGTAATCACCTAAGCATGTAAGTAGAATTCTACTTTTATGTGTGAGATGTGTGACATTAAGCCAAGTACACAGTTGCTCTCTACCTGGATGGGTTCTCCAGTAACAGGATTCATCACTTCCTTTGCAGAAATCCTCATCCCCAAGGCAAAATTAGCCACTCTTTGAGCATGGCTTCCAATAGGCACTGGTACACCTCCTACCACCATATAAGCATCTCCAATTGTTTCTACCTGTCAGGGAAAAAAAATAGGTATTCAGAGGGTTTCCTTAATGCACTAAACATGTTGCTGTGTTTTTTTCCATTTTCCATATATTGACAAAGGGACTATATTAAAGTTGGCGATTCTTTGCTAAGGGTATGAGGAGCATCAGGGAGGAATTGAGACGGAAAAGGACTCAGGAAACATCCATGAGAGAGCAAAAGGCCTGTCTGCTTTCGGTGGAAACGAATCCCAGAGAAGAGGAAGCTCCTGGGGTAGTCATGTGATGCTGCATATGGGATAACACATTGTTTGGATTCAACTTTCTGTGGAATTTAGGAGTAGGAGAACCATTAAGCTGTAGGAAAACAGTGTTTGCCCCTCAAGGGCACCAGAGTACTATCTTAGCCCTGAGTATTGTAAGAGAATTCCTAAAAACTAGAATTCCTAAAATATGTCCAATTTCCTTTCAGCTCTTATTTTCTGACCCTATACTCATCCACACCAAACCCCAGACCAGGGCCAGACAGAGGCAAAGGGAGTCTTAGAATCAAGCACTCACCCTGCATGAGCACACTGTGAAACACCCGACACTGCACAGACTTACTTTATAGACCGCGTGCACATTGGTTAATCTGTCAAACTTGGAGTACATGGAGTTCAGCATGTTCACTATCTGTATAGGTTCACAGGCAGCACAGATGTTGGTAAATGTCACCACATCGCTGAAAAGGATTGTGCAGCTTTTAAATTCTCCTACAACAGAAACCAGGTAGCAGTGAGAATCAAGGAGACAGACTAATTCGTCCGTGAATTCTGGATTCAGAGGCTCTTTGAGAATCAAATCTGCCTGTGCCTTGAAGAAGAAGGAGCTGGATGCCATTCCCAGTTCGGCATCACTCAACACACGTCTACCGAGTGCCCCCTGCAAGCTGGTCATCCTGGGAGAATCATATCACAGGGGGCAAGCAGACCAGGCCCTCGCCCCTAAGGAGCCCCCAGTCTAATGAAGGAGACACACGAGTGAACAAATGCTTCTAGTAAGATGTGGCCAGTGCTGTGGGAGGACACAAAGGGCCCCTAGCAAGTGGGCCAAGCTGAACCTGAGCTACAGGAGACCTGGGGACAGGGCTGACAGAGTCTGGTCACTATGAAACGGTGGGTCCCCATCTTTGTATGGCAGGGAAGCTACCTTGTCCTCAACACTTGCTCCTAAATCATGCCCCTGATTCCGCCTTGGCTTCCATTCATGCCACCTTCCACACAGCAGCCAGATGCCCTGTTTAAGTCAGATCTCCCACGCTTCAACCCCAAATCTTGCATGACTTCCATCATACTTAGAATGCAATCCAAAGTCCTTGCCATGGGCTACAGAGGGGACCCTCCACCTCTGTCCAAGCCACGTCTCTGACCCTATGTCCCTCTGGCTCCCTCCACTCTGGCCACACTGGCCTTCAGCATGCCAAGTACCTCCTGCCTTCGGGCTTCTACACCTAAGGAAAGAGGTGTTTTCTCTGCCTGACATTTTTCTCATATATCTACAGGGCCTGTCACTCACTTTTCAAATGTAACCAACTTAGTGAGCACTCTCTTGACCACCCTATATAAAACAGCCCCTAGACTGGCTGTCCTCTTAGCCTGGTTGCCTTCCACCCACTCCATAGACATGTGGCGTGATATTTTGTGTGGAATGGTTTACTTGGTTATCATTGGCCTCTCCGCTGGAATACAAAGCTCCATGAGATGGGAGACTCTCAGTTTAGATCTCTGCTGTATCCCAAGAACCTAAAGCAGGGCCTGGCACACAGTAGATGTTCAATAAATATTGAGTGAATAAGTTGATGACTCCTTGAATGCATCTGGGTGCCTTCTTTTTTTTTTTTTTTTTTTTTTGGAGACGGAGTTTCACTCTTGTTACCCAGGCTGGAGTGCAATGGCACGATCTCGGCTCACCGCAACCTCCACCCCCTGGGTTCAAGCAATTCTCCTGCCTCAGCCTCCTGAGTAGCTGGGATTACAGGCACACACCACCATGCCCAGCTAATTTTTTGTATTTTTAGTAGAGACGGGGTTTCACCATGTTGACCAGGATGGTCTCAATCTCTTGACCTCGTGATCCACCCGCCTCGGCCTCCCAAAGTTGCTGGGATTACAGGCTTGAGCCACCGCGCCCGGCCGCATCTGGGTGCCTTCTATGTCAGTTATGCCTCTGGTGGTAATTTCCCCTTCGTGGAACTTTCTCTTCTCCTTGGCTTCTGGCTATCATTCTCTCTTCATATTCCTCCTACCTTTCTGATCTCGTTTTACATCTTTCCTTGGCTTCTCAACTTTCTTAAGTAGTAGATGTTCCCTAAGGAGTAATACTGCACTCTCTTCTCACTCCCTGCCCTCTAGGTGATCTTATCCCCTATGCACAGAGTCTATGATTAACCCCGCCCACATTGCAATAGCTCCATGCCACCGTGTTCCCTTGAGCTCTCGCTAAGATTCCTACCTCTGATCATGCTGTGTGGCACAGATGTCTGAAACTCAACGGTTCTAAAATAGATCTTGCCATTCTCCCCCAACCCTGCTCTTGTTTCTGGCCCTGTCTTAAGGATAAAGCAGCCCATTTTTCCATGCAAGAAGCCTCAGACCCGTGCCTGCCTCCTCTGTCTTACCTTCCCTACCTGGTCAGTGAGGAAATCCTGCTGATTCTTTTTCCCTCTTTGCTTGCTGAAATTCAGCCTCAAGACCCAACTCAAGTGGCTCACACTTTTGAGAGGCGCCTTCACAACTCAAACCCGCCCCCTATCTCTTTCTCTCCTGACACCTATTTATTATTACTTTCCTTGTCCCTATATCACCATAGCACATTATATGATGGAAAGAGTGTGGATTTTGTAGTTAGATGGCCTTAACGCAGTTAGTTTCCAGCTCTTTCATTTGTCAGCTGTGCTGAACGTCAGTTTGCTTAGCAATATTACATGGACAACACCTCCCTCATTAGTTTTGAGAAAAATTAATGAAACAGCACACGTTAAATGTCTAACACGAATCCCAGCACAATAATTGCTTTTTAATGCAAATGAATTTCTTTTCCTTTGGTCATTCCCGCCCCCATTCACTTATTCTGCACATATCTAATAAAATCACAAAGTTGTAAACTCCTCCGTGTGCCCAGATCTGGAAGAGCACCCTGACACAGAGTAAGCTCACCAGGTGTGCCTGGTGAATGAACACAGTCCCGTGACAGATGGAAAGTGAGTTCAGGGTAAACATAAAACCCCTGCCTCCGTAAATAGTGTACTGTCCCAGAATGGTCCTCAGAGGAACCCTGTGATTTAGCTAGTGTGTGAGTGTATTATTTCTAGTTACAGTTAAGAACCCTATTCATTGTCACTGAGTAATGAGGCCAATCTCAGGACACATCCTTAAATTCTGAGAGAACTTAATGTATGTGTAGTTGACAACCATTTTTATATAATTCATGTTTCACTCCTGTAATATTTTTATTATTATCAATGTAGAGAGAACAAAGCTGAGGATATGCAGATGGAGTAATTAGCCCAAGATCATGTCACTTACAAGTGACAGAGCCAGAATTCAAAACCACTTCCGTCTGGTTTCAAACCTGTGCCCCCGACCACTAAGACATACCACCCTCTGCTCAGGGGTTCCTGTGCCGGAAACGGTGCCTTACCTGCAGCCACCTTTTTGCCCTCCTTCAGCTGGCTGGCCACATGTTTAGGCAGCATGGCATAAAGCAAAGTCTCTGTTTTCTCCTTTTCAATGGCCAAGTGCTTGGAGAGGACCCGCAGCTCTTCCTTCTTCCTCTCCAGCTGGTTGGACAGCTCCATCTCAGCCAGCCGCTGCTGGTTCAGGAGGATGAGATCCCTGGTGGTGTCATGGAGGGCGATGTCAGAAAGATGCATATTGCATTCTTCCAGCTCTTGCAGGCTGTGGAGCTTCGGAGAACACAGGTACACCATGCATCGCATGGACTCCATCCAGATCATCTGGCCTTGCCATCATGGAGAGAAATGCAACAATAAGATTATGTCACCAGCAGGGGCTGAGATGAGCTCGCTGGACAACCAGTCATGTCCCACACTGTACTTCTAGCTACTGCACAGTCAAGCTCTTTCTCTTTTACTCAAGGTCCCTGAGAGTTAACGTACATTTTCTGTCACCACTTACTCATCTCTCCTCTTTCCCCAGCAGCTCTGTCTTTTGCCTACTTTGACGTGGTTCCCATCTATCAATGGCCTCCATGCTGCTGATGCCAACCCAAGTTTCTTGGCCTTTTTTTTACTTAGTCCTTCTGCTGTTTGATGATGCTAACCAGACCCTCTTTCCTGAAATCTCACTTCCTAGGACTTCTCTCACACTGCTTTCTCTCTGAGATTTCCCCTAATGCTTTGAATTTTTATTTACATTATTTTAATCTCATTCCTTAAACATTAGTGTTCCTGAGGGTTCTGTCTTGGTATTCTTGGTTAGCATCACATAACTGCATCCTACACATGCTGACTATGAATCTGAATTTCCAGAGAAATCTTGCTTCCTGAACTCGAGATGTGTATTTCTTTAAAAATAGATGTTTGTTATCTTATTGTAAAAGCAGTACATATTCATTGCAGAAAACAAAAAAAAAAAAGTGAAAGAAAACAGTAAAAATCACCCACAATCACACCTCACAGATAATTACTGTTAATATTTTGGAGTATATCTTTGTTTTACAAAAAAAATTTAAAAAGGGGGGATTACATGGCATCTTCTTTTCATAATCTGAATTTTTCACTTAAAATATGTAACATATTCTTTCATAGTATTAAACATAGAGATGCATCTTAATTTTTGCTGTTTGCCTTGCTCATACTGTATGTTAATAAATAATAAGCTAGTATTGATTATATTATATCTAGCTTATCATTGTATGAACAGCATTGTGATGAATAAGCTTGAAACAATCTTTGTGTATAGTCACGGTTAGTTAGTTAAAAGATATATTCTTAGACATGGGTTACTTAGACAAGGAATATGCGCATTTTTAAGGCTTTCGATACATATTGCCAAAATCCCCTCCAGGGTGATTGTGACAATACCTCCATGAACAATGTTTTTTTCTTCTGTGCTTCCTATTAGGTATCTGTTCACGGATATCTGCACTGAATTCATCTTCAACCCCCTCTACAAATCTCTCTTTTTATTAGTTATTTCATTACATAGGTAGTTAGTCCCTACAGTTAGCCAGACACACTGTTTTCAGCATTGAGGATACAGCAGTGACTCAAACTGGCAAAAATTCCTGCCTCAAGGACGTTATATCATGTCCTTTTTCCAGTTAATTGCACCTTCATCACCCAGTTACCCAAGCAAGGAAGCTAATAATTATCCTAACGATTCCCCATATGCAGTCACCAAGTCCTGCCTTAATTATCTTATGAGTCTATCCTCCAATTGCCACCCCAGTGCCGTGACTGGAGTTTAGCAGCTTAGAACTTCTCTCCTGTACTCCAGAAGTGGCCTCCATCTGGCCTCCCAGGATCCGTTTTCTCTACACTCTGATTGATCCTTCACACGTCTCCAGAGTGATCATTCTAAATGTCAAATCTGATCATGGCAAACACTTCAGCATGTTTCCAGCTGTACTACAGAGTTCAAGTCCTCATCTTGCCAGCCTTCTCTCCTATCACTCCACTCTACACCTCACTTGGGTTCCCAGAACATGTCATTCTCTTCTTGGACGTCCCCCCAACTCTGCCTGTGCTTGTCCTTGGAATATCTAATCATACCTCTAATAGAAAGACAGCTCAAAATGTGTGCCCTTTCATACCATAAACAAAAATTTGCTCAAAATGAATCAAAGACCTAAATGTAAGAGCTAAAACTATAAAACTCTTAAAAGAAAACCCAGTGGAAAAGTTTCATGGCATCACATTTGGCAACAATTTCCTGGATACAACACCAAAATCACTGGCAACAAAAGATACATTGGATTTCATAAAAATTAGAACCTTTTGTGCATCAAAGGACATAGCCAACAGTGAAAAGGTAACACAAAGAATGGGAGAAAATAGTTGCAGATTATATATCTGATAAGAGGTTAATATACAGCATATTAGGAATTCTACAACTGAACCACAAAAGCAAACAACCCAATTTAAAATGAACAGAAGACTTGAATAGACATTTTTCTGGAGTAAGTAGAAATGGCCAATAAGCACATGAAAAGATATTCAGTATCACTAATCATTAGAGAAATACAAATCAAAACCACAATAAGATAGCACCTCACACCCATTAAGATGGCTACTATTTTTTTAAAAGCAGACAATAATAAGTGTTGAAAATAAGTATGGCAGTTCCTAATTTTAATAAATCCATATGATCCAGCAATGACACTTCCGGATAGACAATCAAAAGAAATGATGGCAGGGACTCAGAGAGGCAAAAATATTTATAGTAATATTATTCACAATAGCCAAGTGTTAGAAGAAACCCAGTGTCCAATGTTGGGTGAACGGATCCAGAAAATGTTGTCTATTCATACAATTGAATATTATTCAGCCTTTAAAAGGAAGGAAATTCTGACACATGCTACAGTCTGGATGAACTTTAAAGACGTTATGCTAATTAAAATAGGCCAGTCACAAAAGGACAGGTACGGTATGATTCCACTTATATGAGGTATCTAGAGTAGTCAAATTCAAGGGAACAGAAGGTAGAATGCTGGTTGCCAGGGACTAGAGGAAGGACAAATGAAGAGTTATTGTTTAATAGGTACAGAGTTTCAGTTTTGCACAATATGAAAAAGTTCTGGAGATGGGTGCTAGTAAAGGTAACACAACTCGTGAATGTGCTTATATCAATGAGCTGTACATTTAAAAACGATTAAAATGGTAAATTTTATGTTGTGTAAATTTTACTACAATTAAAAACACAATGTGTGTGTTACTAATAGTGAGTTAGATGATCGTGCTGCTATATAAATTAAATTAATTAAATTAAATTAATACCAATAGTACCTCATGCATTCTGAAAATGTTGGTAACAGATCAGAATTTTACAATTATATAACACATATAATATTATATGTGTTATATGATATAACATATAACACATATAAAATTATATAACACATATTTATATAACACATATATACATATAACTATATTAAACATATAGTTTATGTCTAAACCAGAGATAGTTGAGGAAATAAAATATATTGTTTATAGGTCAAGTGGAAATGTCCGAAAAAAGAAAATGTGCTCTCAACATAGTCCCTACCCCACTTCTTGGGAAACTGGAAAACTGCCTCTTGCCTTTCTGATCAATCTTTCAAGCAGGCATGGAGCAACAGGAAAGGAGTGAGTGATTACCTCGAAGTTTGAGTGTGCGCTGACTTTGCCATGCTGCAGGCATCATTTCTCTTCGTGTCTTCAGGACAAATTGACTGTTGATAAATTTGCGGATGCTGAAAATGTTGAAGGTAATTTGAGGATGAATGATGGAGAAATACTCATTCAGTTGAATCTTCTGGGCTTGGAGTCCTGGTACATACTTCTGAATGTTCACTCCGGCTTGCTTGACCTGTAGCTATCCACAGAGGACAGATTAAGACTGAGAAATAGAAAGCAGCACCCGCCCTACCCCGCCATAAACTTCCCCTTGGAAATAACATTCTAGCCATGTTCTGTGGCTCACTATGGGGAATGGGGGTCAGTAATGGAATCAACAACATGGAAGTACTAAATTTTTTGAATCAATCAAATCTGTGCTAATGTCTGAAAGAGGAAAGAATAGTACAAGAGTGCTCAGAGGCTTATTTCTGACTAAAGAGAAATGAGGTTACAGCTCTCCATTGGGCTGTAGCTCTCTGAGACAGCTCTGTCTCTCACACTCTCTCAATGACTAATGAAGAAACTAGAAAATTCTGCAGTATTGGATGTAACGCCCAGGCCTGGGTGAAGAAATCCATCAAGGGGGTGGGGAGATGCCTTTCACTGCTATCTTCAGCGAACACACGGAAGGAAAAAGTAAAATAGGTGTCCTTCAAGTGAGTTCATAATCAATTCAGTTGACATATATTTTATCCATGGAAATGGATTAACAATCCAACTTAAATGGTTATGCTCACAACTCTCACAGAGCAGTGGCATGAGCTGACAGGGACCTCTCCCCCATGTTCAAGGTGCAGAACATGAAGCTCAGCGGGATGGTGACATATGTGGTGGTCACAGGATGGGAAGAGATCATGGGTAGCATTCCACCCTATCGTTGCTACTGACTGTGTTCTGTTCTCTTTCTGTAGTGAATTTTTAGCATCACTTCCTTTTGGCCTTTTTTCTAGTGGTAAACTTTCCCATGCATTTACTAGTTCAAACCTCCCTTTCTACCCTATCAAAAAGATCCCACATTCTGGTTTCTGCAGGATATCACAATATGACAAGGAAATCAGTGGTCCTGCCAGGGTAAACCCTAGTCTCCCAAGCCCTGGGAATTTCTCAGGGACTTGAAATTCTTCATAGATTCATAAAAGACTGTAAATCATGCTCACTTTCCTGGCTTAGCCCCAGTTCCAAGAGGGAAGAGTCTCTTACTGATTCATCAAATACAATGTGGAAAGGAAAAGCATTGCAGAATGTCTTCTCTTCGATCCAGAGTCTCTCAGGATAAACTGGCTCCAAGGCATTCGTGACATGCACTGGACAGAGATAAAGAAAGTCCCATGAGAAGCAGCTCCCTCCCCCACCCTCGCACAGAGCAGAGCTCGGGATAGGGATAGTATCTTAAGTGTTTCACAGGCAAAGTGCAATCCCCCTTCCTTTGCACGGGCTCCCTCAGCATCTCCAGATGGCCATGGCAATTCTTCTTCCAAATTAAAACAAACAGAAAACTTGCTACCAGGTTGAGAAGCCCTCCTGCCCCCTGCCAAGTTTCTGCCCGCTGCTGAAGAGTTTCTGGGCCAATTGAGTACGTCTCGCCATGAACACAGAGTCGGCATTGAAATGGTGACAGCCAGACAATGAGCTAGCAGAGCAGAGCGTGTGCTCCAGGCCCAGCATCAGGGACATTTGCCATGGAGCTTTTTAGACTGACAGTTTTGGGTGGCACGTGAAAATTTAACCAACAGTCCTATTTGGCAGGGGTTAGAGATTCGAAATGGAGCCTTTTTGATATGAAAATCTCCTAGACAAAAGATGTCAATTGCATGTTTGACTCACTTGCCATGGCTTGAAGCATGCAAAATGCAACCCTTTGAGTCCTGCAGACCTTCTCCCAGATGCGTGTCACCTGTCCCACTGAGCCGTGACGCAGGGCACCCTAACTCCCTTCTCCCAGACTTGAGTCACCTGCCACTGAGCCGTGACACAGGGCACCCTAACTCCCTTCTCCCAGACGCGAGTCACCCGCCCACTGAGCCGTGACACAGGGCACCCTAACTCCCTTCTCCCAGACGCGAGTCACCCGCCCACTGAGCCGTGACACAGGGCACCCTAACTCCCTTCTCCCAGACGCGAGTCACCCGCCCACTGAGCCGTGACACAGGGCACCCTAACTCCCTTCTCCCAGCTGATCAGAGTCCTTGTTCAGACTCAGGCGTCAGCTGCTAATCATTAGACCAGCTCAGTGCCCACAGGGGTACGTTAGCAAGACTAATGCTAATACTCATTTTGCAAGTGAGAAGATGGAGACTCTGTCCAGAGTCACATACTTCCTTAGGCACAGAGCCAGAAACTTGCTTTCTTGGCTCTTGATCTAGTGTCCTTTGCTGGGCAACTAGGGTTATTAGCCACAGATCTCCAGTCTAGAAATGTGTCCCAATGGAGAAGGCCTGACTGCCAAACAGGAGCTGTGGAGAATTCATTGTTCCTGATGGCACATCAGTGCTCAGCTTCCTTCTCTCCATCTGTCACTAGTTGGAACTGATTCCAATTGTGCCTCCAAAAACTTTTTCCTAGGACAGGGGAGATGGTGTCTCCATGTCACCCGGCACAAATAACGAGGGGCAATGGAAGGACAATTAGAGCCTGACATTTTAAAGTTAAAAACCATGGCTGACAAATTCTAGCTTTGCCGAAATGAGTGCCATCATAATTGCAGAGGGTTTGGCCCCATCAGTGTACACTGGCCGCTACTCCTTAGAATCAAGCAATCATTCTGAGATCAGAGCTGAGCGTGGGAGAACCACTCACTTACCTTTTCCAAACGTGACTGTGCTTCTCACAACATCCCAGTGGGATTTTTTCACAGGACAAGCAGAAATACTCGAATATTTCTCCTTTATTCTGAGAAGAGCTGCCTGGAAGGCCTGCAGATGGCAGGTAGACACGCACTTGGTCACATGACTGGAGAAGCACAAACCCCATTTGCTGTGATGGGGTCTACCTTTAGATAAGGAAGTATATCCATGGCCAGAGGAACAGCATGAGGGCTTACAAGATCAATTCTACCAAGACTTTAGAGTTCCCGATATTTTCTAATCAAATTAGTCTTCCTGCTATTTCTCTATCAAAGAAAACAATAACTTTTTAGAAAATCTCAAGAGGAAACTAGGATGCTTATCTGGCAAGAAATCATGCTTGAACATTTCTTCCTGTGGTGGAAGATTCTGCAGTGAAAAGACTCTGAGACGGGCTTTGAAAATACTCTAAGGAATCTCAGACTAATCCTAATCTGGGTATTTCCACAAGCTATGTGCGTGGAGAGCTGTTCACTTAACATACTTGGTACCTAAGCAGGTAATGGTCACCCGACCAGGTGCAACAGGGTCTTGAGTTGATTCGGGACCTATGACTGGTTTCAGCTGCGGGCACTAGAGACTAGAAAGATCCATTTATTTGAGGAGGATTGAAAAAACAAAGCCATCAAGCTTACATTTCAACACCCCCACCTTTTTTTTTTTTTTTTTTTTTTTTGAGACGGAGTTTCGCTCTTGTTACCCAGGCTGGAGTGCAATGGCGCAATCTCGGCTCACCGCAACCTCCGCCTCCTGGGTTCAGGCAATTCTCCTGCCTCAGCCTCCTGAGTAGCTGGGATTACAGGCTCGTGCCACCATGCCCAGCTAATTTTTTTTTGTATCTTTAGTAGAGACGGGGTTTCACCATGTTGACCAGGATGGTCTCGATCTCTCGACCTCGTGATCCACCCGCCTCAGCCTCCCAAAGTGCTGGGATTACAGGCTTGAGCCACCGCGCCCGGCTCCTTTTTTTTTTTTTTTTGAGATGGAGTCTAGCTCTGTTGCCCAGGCTGGAGTGCAATGGTGTGATCTCCACTCACCACAACCTCGGCCCCCTGGGTTCAAGTGATTCTCCTGCCCCAGCCTCCAGAGTAGCTGGGACTATAGGTGCATGCTACAATGCCAAGCTAATTTTTTGTATTTTTAGTAGAGATGGGGTTTCACCATGTTGGCCAGGCTGGTCTTGAACTCCTGACCTTATGATTCATCTGCCTCGGCCTCCCAAAGTGCTGGGATTATAGGCATGAGCCACTGCACCCAGCCAGTTATTACTATAGGTGAAAGTTTCCAGGCTCAGGTACATCCCAGAAAGCTTCCCAGTGTATATCCAGCTAACCTTAACCCAGCAATTCTCAACTGGGAATGATTTTACCCATTACTCCGACTATGCAGACACTTGGCAATGCCAGGAAACATATATATATGTATATTTTTTGTTGTTGTTGTTGTTGTTGTTTTTGCCACAAATGAGGGGATGAGGTTCTACTAGCATCTAGTAAGAAAAGACCAGGAATTGCTGCTAAACATACTATAATGTAAAAGACAGCCCATCAACAACAAAGAATTATCTGGTTCAAAATGTCAATAGTGCCAAAATTGAGAAACTCTGCCTTGATTGCACTATTAGAAAGCCCAGTTGGTCTCCCATCCAAGTACTAACCAGGATCGACCCTGCTTAACTTCCCAAATCAGGTACATTGAGAGTGATACGGCCATAGACACTCATAAGCGGGAGTTGAACAGTGAGAACACATGGACACAGGGAGGAGAGCATTACACACCAGGGCCTGTCAGGGGGTGGCAGGGGGAGGGAGAGAGAGAACATTAGGATAAATACCTAATGCATGCGGGGCTCAAAACCCAGATGATGGGTTGACAGGTACAGCAAACTACATGGCACATATATATCTACATAACAAAAACCTGCATGTTCAACACATGTATCCCAGAACTTAAAGTAAAATTTAAAAAACAAAAACAAAAAACAGAAGGTCCAGTTGATTCTGTCATTTGCATAGATTGTTCCAAGACGGGTAGCTCAACTTAAGGGCAACTGCTGTCTAAAGGCATAGCAAACCCAGTACCTCCTGGTCTCTCTTGATGCCCTGATTGTCTTGTAAACTGTTTGTCTTTATCTTTCTCGTCTTCCCGCGAGCCTTTTGTACAATCAGAAACACAACATGCTCCTTCTTCCCTGTCCTCTCCACTTCTTCATTCATGTCAAGAATGTCCATGGTTACATCAACGTCAAAGAAGTCTTTGGCCACAGCCTCAATGATACCTGCAGCAGGAGGACATCTATCGTCGAGGGATGGCCAAAGGCAATTGTATCAGCAAAAATCAAAAAATAATCAAGTTGTAAAACCTCTGATGAACATTCTAATGTTTGCCAAGCCCAGGCCCTGCTTTAGCTCAGGCATCGGTGACAGCCAACTAAGTAAAAATAGGCAGAGACTAAAGTCATACATGTTTGTATACCAAATATACCCATGCCACTTTAGTTTCTAGTTTGAATCTACTCATTTGCTTGTTATTTCAGGTAGGTATTTAACTGATTAAACAAACAAACTCTAGAGGTAATGTAAGCAAAATTCAGTTCTAAAAGCATTAAGGATCAAGTTTTTAAAAGTGTTCCTCTGGGAATCTATCCCAGGGTTACATACAAAATACAGGAAAAGCATGGATGAAGATGTTCATGATACCATTGTTTACAATAGCAAAAGATTAGTATCAATGGAAAGTTTAATAATAGGAGATTAGTTAAGATAATTACAATATGGAATATCATTCGGCCATTTTAATATGTGGTTTTAAAGACTATGTGTAAACGTGGAAACATGCTTTTTCTACGATGCTAAATGCAAATAAAGAGCTGACACAATATATGCAGAATTATCACAACTATCTAAAAACTGCATAATTTAAAATGTTGAAAGAAAAATACAAATTATCCCTTTTTGTGGAATTTTGGAAACTTACTTTAAAAGCTCCAGGACTTTGGGAGCAGTGGTCAAGATGATATAAAGTGACACATTCTAAGAGAGTTTTAACTTCTTACCCATAGCCAGCTATTAGCTATCCCGGACGATCTGTGGGGAAATTTTCCTCACTTCAGAGGGCCCATAGCTCTGGGGCCAGCTAAGCCATTTCCATACCTGGGACAATGTGGCACAGACCGCTTCTATCCGAGTAGTAATGGAGAAACATTTTCCCGTCTGTTCCTCTCTCCACATGAAACGATGGTGCGTTCATCTCCTAATTAAAAGACACACATTTTTTCCAGTGGACACAAATTGTGTAAATTATGCTTTTGAGGCTTTGTGAAACAATCGTATTTATTCATTCCATCATACAGAACTATATCCCAAACCTCTCTTCAATCACATAAAAACTCCCATGGTTCCTGATCCTGTATGTCAGGAATTTTATACTATACCTACTGCACTTTAAACGGCAAGTACTAGTTCCATTTTAAGAGAAAGAAACTGGCTGGGTGCGATGGCTCAAGCCTGTAATCCCAACACTTTGGGAGGCCAAGGTGAGTGGATCACGAGGTCAAGAGATCGAGACCATCCTGGCCAACATGGTGAAACACCATCTCTACTTAAAAAAAAAAATACAAAAATTAGCTGGGCATGGTGGCATGTGCCTGTAGTTCCAGCTACTCAGGAGGCTGAGGCAGGAGAGTTGCTTGAACCCAGGAGGTGCAGGTTGCAGTGAGCCGAGATTGTGCCACTGCACTCCAGCCTGGCACCTGGCTACAGAGCGAGACTCTGTCTCAAAAAAAAAAAGAAAGAAAGAAACTAAGACTCAGGGAAGGTAAACCTAGGTCAATGGTAAAACAACATGTGATCCCCAAATGAGCCTTTGCACCATGCCATGCTGTTTCTACCCATATTCCAAGAGCAGCTGGCTGCTGGTAACAGGAAGCCTTAGTGAGTCTCTGTCATGCTTGGTCTGTGACCAAGTGACCATGGGCATCTTCACTCCCCAATACATCGGGAATCAGAGGAATTTGCAAGTAGAATTAATCTTTTTGTTGTTGTTCTGGAAGGATAATGTCATCTGTGATGTCAATTTAGACATTTAGAAAGTAGAACCTTCAAGGATACATCAGAAGAGATCCCCTTTCTCCAGAAATAAATGTTGACATTCAAGTACGTATTATGTCACAGTAAATGAGATGAATACTAGGAAAGAAGTATAGAGACTTTCCCTGGGGGAGTCTCTATCTAGTTAGTAGGCAACTCAACACACTGGACGCACAGTTTTTGGTCCAAGTGAGGGAACAGGTAAAGGAGATGGGTTCCTTCCAAGATCTTACGTGGTGAAAGGCTAATAGTTTAAAATGAGTTTCTTTTTTTCCCAAACACATTTTTTATCTTTTTTTTTTTGAGACGGGGTCATGCTCTGTTACCCAGGCTGGATTGCAGTGGTGCGATCACAGCTCACTGCAGCCTCTGCTTCCTAGGCTCAAGTGATCCTCCCACCTCAGGCTTTCAAGTCGCTGAGACTACAGGCATGCCACCACCATGACCAGCTAATAATGTGTTTTGTTGTTGTTGTTGTTGTTGTTGTTGTTGTTTTGTAGAGTTGGGCCTTTGTTGTGATGCCCAGGCTGGTCTCAAACTCCTGGGCTCAAATGATCTTGCCCACCTCGGCTTCTGAAAGTGCTGAGATTACAGGCATGAGCCACCCCGCCCAGACCTCAAATATTTTTTGTTTATAATTCCAAAAGGATGTACCTACAGAAAGTACATATATTTATTTGTATGTGTGTGTGTTTACATCTTGACTAAATGTAAAGAGTGGTCAAGGCAGCACATATAAAAAGCATTGATAAAACAGGAAATTAAGTTAATTTAAAAATTATATCCAAATCCTACATAGTGAAAATAAAGAGATCGCAGAAGGCCTGCAAGAAAGTCCTCGAGATTCTGCTTCATACCCCTCACTCCTTACCCACAGCCCAGAGACACTTCCAAAAGTTTTTGCTTTTATTTCTTCTGGTCAATGTCACTAAGTCTCTAAACAATATAGTTATACTTTTATTTCTTGATTAAAATAGGGATTTTTAAAAGTGGAGAATTAGGGCAAAGAATAAAAGAATGAAAAAACATTTTTGCCTAAAGAGACAATTTATAATACTTTGCCCAGCAGAAAGCACTATAAAGCTGTTAGGTATCATTACAGAACAGAATGGAAAGCCCAGAAATAAAGCCATACACGTAGAGCCATGTGATCTTTGACAAAGTTCTCATTATTCCAAAGAATAATGAGAACAGCGCAGACCTGGGTCTTTGGAGACATACGTGAGTTTGGGTCCAGCTCAGCCACCACACCTGGGCGATTTGGAGACAGTTACTAGACCTTTCTAGACCTCAGTTTTCTCCTCTGTATAGCAGGAAAAATAACACTGCCCATTTTTATGGCATCAAGAGGATAAGTCAGTGTGGACACATTGCTTAGCCCAACACCTGCCTCATTAACACTCAATCAAAGTTAGCTAAAGCATGACAAGATTAAAGGTTCAGTTATAACCAAAGATGTATGTCTTAAAGGCACTGCCAAATTACTAGATAGACACACAAAAGTGAACATTATCTTATTTTGTTATTTTTGCCTAAAGAGATAACTTATAATACTTTGCCCAGAATAAAGCACTATACAGCTGTGAGGTATCATTGCATGTATTTTCTTCCAACTTGTATATTGTAAGATTTAAAGTATTTTATTTACCTTATTATATGCAAAATGTCCTCAAATAACGCCAGAGGAGTTCTGTTCTATTGCTTCTCTATAGCATCACTGATAAGTGGGAGCTAAACATTGAATACACGTGGACATAAAGATGGCAAATACAGACCCGGGGACTACTGGAGGAGGGAGGAAGGGATGGGGGTCAAGGACTGAAAAACAATTAGGTGCTATGCTCACCACCTGGGTGTCCGACTCAATCATACCCCAAACCTCAGCATCATGCAATATACCCATGTAAAAAACCTGCACGTGTACCCTCCGAATCTTTACAAAGAAACTGAAATTATAAAAAGGCAAAGAAGAAAAGATCACAGAAAAAAATATATATGTATTACAAAAAAAAATATTAAAGGGCCCTAACTGTATTTCTTTATATCCTAATTGTTGCGCTTTAGCTCAGAAATTGAAAGGAAGTTTCCTGCAAATTATGGTAATTCTTAAACTGGCCATATTGAACAGAGAGAAAACAAAGCGGAAGGAATAGAGTTATTATTTATTTATGGAAAGCTGATTTTCTGGGCTGATTACAATGTTAGAGACATTTACATCTTATCTCTTGCAATCCACACATTGCTTTGAGGTGGGTTCGTTTCTTCCTTATTTCTTTTCTATTCTGTTCTTTAATGATACCTAACAGCTGCCTGTGTCCAATGCCTTAAGACATAGTATCACTCTGTAAATACTAGCCACTCAATAAGTATTTATTAAATAAAATAAATTGAGATTCAGAGATGGCAACCAACTTGCCCAGGATCACACAGCTGGTAAGTTGTAGAGCCAGTGGGACAGCCACGTGGGCCTGTGTGACCCCATCAGCAGGGCTCTTTCCACTCCCCCTCCCCTCGAGTAGCTCACATGATAACAATAGGACAGGCCCAACTATTCATGCCGACTCATAATTGAAGTCAATTAAGGTTTCCAAGCCTCTGATTCCTTATATGGAAAATGGAGAAAATAATACTTTGCCCATTCATCGTCTGTAAAAGGGAGTAATGGTTGCTGAGGCTTTTCAGCATCTGCAATCCTGTTTTGTGCACCCCCCTAACCACAAAAGGATGGATATGAACACCAATATAGAAACGGTGAAGAAAGATCTTGGTGAAATATAAAAGACCCTAAAATTAAACTATTTTCTATAAAGTAATAAACTGTTATGATATATATAAATGCTCCTTAAACTTTTCTTGACTAAAAAATGAAAGAGAGTCTAGGCAATTGAATTTCCAATGATCTCTACAAACAAGAAACCCAAGGAAAGCATCCCACGGACATATCCCAGTAGGGAAATTAGTTTCTTAACACCTCACTCGGTCACCCATGGGTTAATCAGAGTTGGGTAGTTTCCGAATCTGGCTCTGAGCCCTGTCAAGTCTTCCTTTCTGATACATGAATAATATGAATCTGGATGCATATGCAATTTATCAGCTCCATCCCAGCCAGGAAACCTTAGGAGAGCTTTTGCAAATACACTGAAACCTGACTGTTTTCCAGCCTTTGTTCCAATTGCAATCAGTCTCCAGGATTTAATTCCAAATTCACACCGGCCCCTATCTGAAAAGGCCATCCCTTCAGTTTTTGTGGGCCAGTTTGCAAAAGTGGCCAACAGAGTGTTTCTTTTTCATTCTCTTCCAAAAAGAACTCCTGGGCCCACCAACACCAAGGACCAAGGATTCTGCATATGGGAGGGTTTTCCTGCAACTGCGCATCTATTGGGAAACAAATACTGCAACAGCATTTGTTTCCTCTTGGGCAGCCAAAACCAGACTCAAGTGGTCTTACCTGATAGGAGAGTGCCAGGTAACTGTGGAGGGCATCCAGGTTTTCAATAAACTCCATGAGATTTCCCCCGAGTGTCCGAAGCATCCTGTCATAGCCAGACATCTTACAGAATTGAAAGAAGTATTCTCCAAAGAGTTTCAGGATGGCTTCCATGGAGACTCCTGTAGCATCCAAAGCATATCCCCTAAATAAAATCCCCTGGGAGGTGTGTGCTGTCCTTTGTGTAGTCTTCATTTATTTCTGGGGGTTTCGCATCCTGGCTGTGTGACCCTATTGAGCTACGCTCTAAGCCATCACTTTCTTCATCAGTAAAATGCAAATAATCACCTCGATGTCATGGGGCCTTTGTGAGGAGTTCAGTGCAGCCCGGCACTGTGTAGGTGCTTGTGAAAGCTGAGTCTCCATGACAAATATTTCCTCAAAGTCAAGAAGGGGAAGCAGAGATGCTGTGCCTGCTTAGCTGCTGAAGCCAGGGCCCAGAACAAGCTTCACTCCACAATCACTCCCAACGTCTCCCACATCTTTAAATATAAACAGTCTCTAACAAGAATGCAAGGCTGCCTCTGCGAAATAACTAATACGCAATGAAAAAACTATTCCTTCAAGGATATAGGATCCTGATTTACCAAAAAGATGATACCAAATAGTTAGAGTGACTTTCCCTTTCTCTCTTGACCTCATCAGATCCTGGCCTCCCTGTGAGGCCCGGCATTCACAGTCCATTCTCCGTAAAGATTTCTCTCAATAGCCCAGGTCACACTGCATTCTCTCTTCCTAAGTGTTGCATTTTGTTTCTTCCTAACTCATGGTAATTCTGGAGAAAAGCAACCTGGTTCTACATGTTTTCCGTGCTAATTACAGAGTAGGTGCCTGATGAACACCTGGGGGCAGTTTTGCAGTGTTACGGGGGCTGCTGCCCACTTCCCACCCTCCCCAGTCTGCGCTATTGGAATAGACAGTGAGCAATTGTTCGCTTTGTTGGAGAGACTGTAAACAATTTTTTTTTCTTCTTTTTTGAAATGGAATTTTGCTCTTGTTGCCCAGGCTGGAGTGCAATGGCGTGACCTTGGCTCACCGCAACCTCCACCTCCTGGGCTTGTTATTCTCCTAACTCAACCTCCCAAGTAGCTGGGATTACAGGTATGTGACACCACACCAGGCTAATTTTGTATTTTTAGTAGAAATGGGGTTTCACCATGTTGGTCAGGCTGGTCTTGAACTCCTGAAATCAGGTAATCCACCTGCCTCAGACTCCCAAGGTGCTGGGATTACAGGTGTGAGCCATCACGCCCAGCCTGCCAGCAAACATTTTTAAAGACTATTTAATAGTTCTGAAAACACACATTAATTAAGGTTCTTTTACTCAATGCTTGCCAAGCTCTTATAAGGTAGCTAACCTTATTATCATGTCCTCTTTACAGCTGAGCCTATGGGGGCTGAGTCATCTTTGTGAACTGACTCCAGTCACAGAGTTGCAGAGGCCAGTTTGTTGAAGAGGCTTCAGCTCTAAGTTCAGCGCTTGGTGTACCACATCCCCCAGCCTCTGAAGCAGCAATGAAAGAAGGAAGGAGTCTCCCCAAGGCAAGGGCTGCTTATGCGTTGGCATCGTTGACACAGGAGACAGGGCATCCATCCATGCTGCTGCCCTGGAGCTCCTGTGAGAAACCTCCTTATTTACAATGGTGCTGCGACACATGAAAGTCCTGGGGGCTGGGGCAAATGTCCGTAACGCCTGAGGAAGTCACAATCTCCAGTATCTGTGGTTGCATCCTTGAAAAACTCTGTAATGCTCTGGCTGGATCTGGAATTCACTGCAAGGGACATTCCAGGTCTCCTGAGCTATCAAGGGCTAAATCCTGCAGAGGACAGACCAAGGAAGTCTGGGCACTCTCCAGCCCCTGCTTGCTTCCTAGGATGGTCTGAAGAGCAGATTCCCTACAGCTCGTAGTCCACAGCCAGACCATGGGGCAGATAATTGTTCTGTCATCTGAGCAGGGTAGAGTCCCCACTGAATTGGTCTAGTTTTGTCAGAGATGAGTTATACATATTTTCCAAAAATTGATTAGCCTCATCTGAATCTAGACAAAGCCTGGGAAGGCAGAGGAAGCAGTGGTAATGGCCTTTGTTAATTGCCTCCTTTGGGTTCTTTGCTTGTGCGTGCATCCTGGCTGGCTGCAGGCAGGCTTGTCTATACCAGTATTCGGGGGCCACCTGCTAACTCCTAGGGGATCTGAGACAAATTCTACCAAGTTCCTTTCTAATGCTTGAGTCTCTGGAAGGAGAATTGCTAAAAGGTAAATGGATAGATGCAAAATGTCCTTCTGCTCTCCTGCTTCCATCCCTCTGTTCCCTCTAAATCTAGCTTATTCAGACTGAGAATAACCAGCTGTACTGTGCAGCCTGGAGGCTGGAGCTCTGAGCAGGTGCATCCTGTTACCTGCCAGGAAAAGCATGGGTCCCAGTGGCCCTGCTTCTCCCAAGGACCTCTCCCAGGAGGACTGGGCTGCCTGTAAGCCAAGTAAAGTTATATTCAAGTGACAGTGTCAGCTTTGGGTAAAAGACTGTTTGGCTTTTAAATCTTTAAACTTAGAAAAACCCAGGAAGTTCTTTGTTCCGGACTCTGGTTATTTTGTTTGTGGATGCCCAGCTCTGTTAACAGGAAAGGACATCTGGCTGAGAGATGAACTGTTTCCCAAACAAGGGTCTTGGGTTTGAGTGTGATATTTTCCACCTGTAATGGGTTTGGGGCTGCTTCTAGAGTTCTTGGTTGAGAATCCTTATCCAGCAGAGCAGAAAGGCCTCTTTAAAAAAAATATCAACACCTGTCTTAGTCTTTTATACAGTTTTGCCTCACTGTATTTAAGATTCTAAGAGCCTGCTAAGTCATGGGGCACCAAGATATATAGGAAATGGTTAGAAACTGCAAGAAAAAACTAAACTAACTTAGATGCCTTAAAATGTTTTTTGATAATGCAGGGGGGAATTTATACTATGTTTAGTATTCTTTCATGTAAGAAAGAAGGGAAAACAAGGAAATAATCATCTATCTGCCTACTTGTAAAAAATTAAACCCCAGGAGGATAAACCTGGATCTATTGAGATTAGTTACCTACAGGACATTGGTGGGAATGGGGGTGGAAAGATTAGAAAATTTGTGGAGTTGGGGGGAAATGACATTTTCTTGAGCATAACTTTTTGAGGCCAGGAGCGGTGGCTCACGCCAGTAATCCCAGTTCTTTGGGAGGCTGAGGTGGGGAGTTCGAGACCAGCCTGACCAACATGGAGAAACCCCATCTCTACTAAAAATACAAAATTAGCCAGGCACGGTGGTAGGAGCCTGTAATCCCAGCTGCTTGGGAGGATGAGGCAGGAGAATCACTTGAACCTCGGAGGTGGAGGTTGCAGTGAGCCGAGATTGTGCCATTGCCTTCCAGCCTGGGCAACAAGAGTGAAACTCCTTCTCAACAAAATAAATAAAATAAAGTAAATTTTAAAAAACTTTTTTTTTTTAAAAAAAGCATTCTGGTTTGGAGAGTCATGTTAACGTTTCATATGCTTAAAATAAATAAAATATAAGATCCACAAAGAGAACACCCCTAAGACAGAATACAAACAGAAACAAATTCACAGAATAACATTTCAACAGAACAGTTTTGAATAACATAATTACCCAGGAAAAAAAATTAACCCGGTAATATTTGCACATAGCATTTACACTGCTGTGTCCTCAAGCCCAAAACAAAAAGAACTTTAAGCAAATATTTGACTGTAGTTAAGTAGGCTTCCTTTCCATAGCCATGTGGGCTAGCAATTCTGAGACTATGTTGTGAACATACACGGATTGAGAATACAAGTAAGTATATTGCGGATAGCGGGAGCCAGGTTTTTCACTATCTGAGAATGAAGTTACAGTTATGGAAAGGGGAGGAATAGAATGAACCCTGTGCCTCTGGATTAGAAAATCTAACATAATAAAACAATAAAACCCATCATGGTTATAGATAGATAGATAGATAGATAGATAGATAGATAGATAGATAGATATAGATAGATGTGTGTGTATACGTGGGTGTGGGTGTGTGTATATGACATCTGTTTTCCAGCACTGTCCACTAAGAGGCCCTAAAAGCGGTGACACCCCAGTAGCAGTGGGCTTACCTAAAACCTCTTGATTTTTAAGTATCCTTCTCCAGTAAAAGGAATCAGGACCTTGGAGAAATGGCAGATTCCAGGGCTGGGGCAGGAAAAGGATGAGATCAGCCGGTAACATCTTGTTATGCAAGAAAGTAAAGAAATGATCAAAGAATGATGAGGACATGTCAAAAGGACACGGCAGCCAGTTTAGGGTGCTCTCACTGGCTAACTCTTGCAGCATCAAACTAAGTAACAAAAGGAAAGGATTACAACATATTTTTTAAAATATAAGAATCACAAATCTGCATTGATAGAAGTAAATAAAAGGAGGAAGGGCGGAAGATTCTTCCTTACAGAAACTCAATGGATAAATACAAAAGGAATAATATTCTTAGAAAATCACCATTTGACTTCCATCGTAAGTATCAAATTCAGGCAAGAATCACAAATAAATCCTAAAATTATGAAGCAGGAGTTTGAGAAATGACAAGATATTTGCATAATCTGAAAGAATCTCCTCACAAGATACTAATTACAAAGGGAAAAGGGTAACTTTGCCATGGAGAAAGCTGGCAAATTCTACGTAAACCGGCGATCAAAGTTAGCATCACTAATAACAGGACAGATCAATGCAATATGCCTCCTAATATGATAAACTGGGAAGGACGAAAGAGCACATCTGTAATCTGCCTACCAATAAAGTATATCCTGAATTATATCATGAGGAATATCAGATAATCCTGAATTGAGAAACATTTTGCAAAATAGCTGATCATAACTTTCCAAAGATACTAAGTTATAAAACATAAAGAGACTCAGAAACTGTTCCAAGCCAAAGAATACTGAAGAGACATGATAACTGATATGATCTAGGATTTCCTTTTGTTCTAAAGGACATCATTGGGTCAATTGGAAAAATCTCAATAAGATCTATAGATTAGATAATAGCACCATACAAGTCTTCATTTCCTGAGTTTGACTGTTGTACTGTAGTTATTTAAGAGAATTTTTAAGGAAAGAAAGCATC